GAAGGGGGACTCGGGGTTTGGAGATTTTGGGGTTTCGGGGTATGGGGAAGGGGGGACGTCTAGATGTAAGGGGGATGGAGGTCAAGGTGTTTGGGGGTCTGGAAGTCTGGAAATCCTAAACCTCAATCCCTCTCTCCCTCCCTTCCCCTCCCCCTCTCTCTGTCCTCTATCTCCATCATCCGTCCCGTCGTCTCTCTACCCTCCCTTCTGTCTCATGTCCCCCTCCCTCTCCTCCTACCCCTCTCTCCTCTCTATGTCCTAAGCCTCTGCACCTCTCCCTCTCTGCTCTTCTCCCTCTCTCCATCTCCTTATCTCCCTCTCCCTCTGTCTATGTCCTAAACCTCTGTCCCCTCATACAAGAGCTCTCCTCGTGCTTGTAGAGATAACTCTTGAGAGCGAAAGCCTTCCCACATCGGCCACAGACATACGGTTTGTCCGTGGAGTGTGTCTGGATGTGCGCGCGCAGGTTGGACTTGTCAGCAAACGACTTGCCACACTGCGGACAGCCGAACGGTTTCTCGCCCGTGTGAGTGCGGATGTGACCTTGAAGGAGCCAAGGTCGGCTGAACTTCTTCCCGCAGTGCGGGCACTCGCAGCCCTGGTTGTGCGTGCGTACGTGCATGCTGTAGGCCGGCATGCTCACGTAGACTTTGTCACAGTGCGGGCATTTTCTCGCCTTTTTGTCACACACGCTGCGGTGTGTCTGCCGATGACGCGCCAGGTTGCTGGAAGTGCTGTACCGCTTGCCACACTCTGCGCATGCGTACGGGTCCACGCCTGGTTTCCGGGATGAGGAGAAGAGAAGCTGGCTGAGCGCGGACTTTCGGTCTTGTCCGACAGTCAGAGAGGTGGTGGGGGTGGAGGCTGGGGCGGTCAGGGGGTTCTGTGAAGACACAGTGGTCAGCTGGTCATCTTCGGGGTGGGAGAGGTCGTCCGGCTCTGCTGACCTGGACGTCTGCTGAAGCTGGTCTGTCAGTGTCTGGAGCGGGGAGACTTTTCTGTGAGGGTCAAGGGTTAACTCCAGAAGGTAAGGTGGGTCGAACACCAGGGTGGCAGGGGCGGGGCTTGGATGAGTGGGGGCGGAGCTTGGGTGGATGGGGGCGGAGTTTGCGAGGGTAGGGGCGGGGCTTAGGTGGGTGAACTTAGTGGGGAAATGTTGGGTGTGTGGGGGAGATGGGGGCAGTGCGGGAGGGTTGCTGGCCGTGAGATCTGTGTGGTCAGTGTGGTCAGTGGTGTGAGAGGCCTGGTGGTCAGTAGGGTCATCTGGTCCCGGATGTGTGTCTAGATTGACCAGCTCTTGTTTGGGAGAGAAGGGATGAGGATGGGGGTGGTGGTGGTGATGGTGGTGGTGGTGGCTGCTCTGAGAGGCGGAGGTGGTAGAGGGGGTCACGGTCATGCTGTGGGTCACGTGGGGGTCATCTCGTGAGCCGGACATCTTGGCCCCGTACTGCGGAGAAGCTAGCAGGTACTTGAGCTTGGGGTGGTAGGCGATTCTCCTTTCCAGCTGGGCGGTGGTGGTGGAGCTACTGGTTGGGGTCACGATGTCATGTGGGCTCAGCTTGGACTGATGTGAGTGATGGACGGGGGACGCTGGGGAGGCAGACAGGGGGGACGACTGCTCGGTGGCGCCTGGGGGCGAGTTGTGCCTGTAGGTGGGGGTGGAGGCGCTCTGGCCAGCCGGGGGCGTGGGGTAGGTGGGAGAAGGGAGAGAGTAGAGGTTGTTGCTCACCACCATTTTCCCTTCTCCGTCCATCGCCGGCGACAGGATGAACTCAAACTTTGCACGAGCGGTGAACCCGGCGCTACCCTCTGAACCACTTTTCGTGGTGCGCGCGGCTGGTAGGTGGTGTGTGGGCGTGGTGGGTGTAGTGGGCGTGTCTGTGACGTCATACTGACCTCTGTGCACGTGGTTGACCTCGTTCCGTCGCGTGGATAGCTGGGAGTAGTCGATCGGCTGCTCGTCCGGTGAGGGTGGACGGTGACCGCTGGTCAGTCCAGTCACGTGATCGTGAGGGAGCTCGAAAGAAATCCTTCTCTGCGCCTGAAGCAGCCCTCCTCCTACATTGTCCATCAAGAGGTCATGGTGGGGTGAGGGCCTGGTGTAGCGGTGGCCCTCACTCGAGGAAAGACTGAGGTCCAGGCTCTGAACCTGTCCCGTCGTCACACCCGACCTGTCGCCAGGGTAGCTCTCTCTGACGTCATGGCCACGTGACATGTACCTGTACGCTGACGTCGCGTCGGCGTCCATGTTGCCGGATTGGCTCACGTGTTGATAGGCGTGTCGCTTGTCGTACCTGGCCATCTCTGCCACTTCTGGCCTCATCGCCAACTCCCCTAACTCCCCGCTGTGACGTCGGCCGGAGGTCTTGAGGTCAGAGGTCACATGTAGCGAGTCACGGGACGTGTAGCGGTGTGGGCTCTGGGTCATGAGGTCAAAAAGGAGCGAGAAGTCGGCCGGGCACTCCCAGCTGTACTCCACTTCCGGCGGAAGCTCGTGCCGGGCCTCGTTCTGGCTGGAACATCCGCTGTCGCTGTCCGCGTCAGAGCTGGAAGAGGGGAGGTGGGCGTGCGGCGGGTGGCGGGAGGAGAGGCGCTTCTTGAGGGGAGGGGAGTCTGCAACAGACAAACAAATAGAAACACATTTAGTTATGGAAGAGCAGGGGAGGGGAGTCTGGAATAGACCGATAGATAGCCTGATAGGCATAGATGGTTGAGGAGGGGAGGGGAGTCAGGAATAGACAGACAAATAGACAAACATTAAGTGATACATGCGGAGGGGAGGGGAGTCTTGAACGACAGACAAATAGACACAGTGATTGAGGAGGAGGGGAAGGGAATAGACAGAGAAATAGACACACATTTCGAGGTGGCAGAAGTAGAGGAGGATGGGGGATTGTTTTGAACAGATAAACAAACACATAATGGGTACTCACTTCTTGAAGGTCGGAAGAGGGGCGAAACATTTTACTTTTTTTTGGG